GGGGGGGGGGGGGTAAACTTTGCTTTTTGCCGTGTGGAGGCATCATAATAAATGGTTGCCAACAAGAATCTGCAGAAAATAAACAAGAATAAGATAGGTAAGGAATCTTCAAATAGTCTGTCCTTTATCAGGCTTATTTTAATTGAACCAAAACCATATGCACATGCCGGCTTTTCTTTCTCACAGCTTAAAATTACTGTAACATTGAACTCTTGGAACACATCTAAAATGTATTTGGTACACAATTAGAATATGCATACACATTTCTTTTAGACAAGACCTCCACTTCCAACCAAGAGGTTGTGAGTTCGAGTCACCCAAGAGCAAGGTGGGGAGTTCTTGGAGGGAAGGATGCCGAGGGTCTATTGGAAACAGCCTCTCTACCTCATGGTAGGGGTAAGGTCTGCGTACACACTACCCTCCCCAGACCCCACTAGTGAGATTATACTGGGTTGTTGTTGTTGTATACACATTTCTTTAAAAAATAATAACCGGTCCGAGTAAACTATTTTTACCCCCCAAAAAAAAGGTACTGCAGGAAGGAAAGTGAGAAAAAACCAAAACAAAAATTATATGCAAATTAAGAAGATTCTCAAATGACCTAAAAAGACTTCATGAAGCCTAAAACGAAAGAAACCATCTAAAGCCATGAACGTCTATTCTATTCATTCATTTAACATAACAATTAAGTGTACTTAAGGCTAACTGTTGTAGTTAGTGAGATATAAGCGTTAAGTATTGTAATTTAATTGGAGTTTCATTTTTGACTTGTTGAATGAAAATTTCCACTCCAACAAGTTTTAAGCAAAACCCAATTCAATTTAAGCTGATTTAATTACACCCAGTATATAAAAATACAATCTTGATTTCAAAATTGTACAGAACCCCAAAACCCTAATAAAAGCACATGAGTTGTGTAAACAATAAAGAAAAAAGTAAGTGAAAAAAAAAGAAGGAGAAACAGAGAGAGGAAGATATGAACCTGATGAGGATGAATTGTCAAGTACAGTGGAAGAAACTGAAGAGAGAACCTAAATGATGCACATTGTAAAATGGATAAACTGCACTTTGCCTCCTTGAAGAGAGAACCTACAGTTTGAATGCCTTGTGTTCACGGAAAGTTACTTTTTGAATGCCTTGTGTAGGGAGTGTTCGCGGAAAATCCAAAAATCGAACTAAACTGAAAACGAATCAGACTGATAAAAAAATTACTACTCCCTCCGTCTCATATTACGATGGTTACTAAAAATAGTTATCTCAAATTATTTGTCACTAGTCAAGCTGTCCGCGCTTCGTGCGGTCATAAAAGAAAATATATCATATAATCCCGTTATAAGCTTAATCGAGAGAGAAGAGATACAATTTATATGCGTTATATACAAATATACATATTTTCGTGGGTACTCCAAAATCCTGTGTTATATTAGCAGTCATATAATTGGAAGAAGTTTAACTACTTATGCAGCTCTTCTTTGTCAATTGTCAATACATACACTTTGTCATTTGGAAGAGGTTTTCATGTTTTGTGAAGCACTTAGAACTATCTCATTAAGACGATCCCAAAGAAATGTTAGTTATTTGTCAACTTGCAGAAAAGTTCAATCCTTCCATTTTCATATTTTTCTTCATACAAAAGTGGTAAATACATTGAAAGATTTATGTCATTAAAGTACTTGTGAATTGTGTATATCTTGCATTGAGCAATCCCTCATATTTTCCCACCTTGAATATAATATTTCCTTCCTCCTTTTTCTTTCAGCAACTTCGATCTTCTCCTGAGAATCCATATCCCAGGACTCTTTTCAGCAGTCCAACTTATTCAGTCATTATTCATGTTCATCTTCCCTTAAACACTTTTTAAAACTAAGAAATCCATGTTCAAGAACACAAACCTTTACAAATACACTATCTCGACTTCATAGCGATGTCGACACTCACAAAATAAATTATCATAGAAGAAAAATGACTCATTTTGACTGTTAGAAACAAGAACACGACAAAAAGGAAGAGACAGAATAACTTGAGATTAACTGAGCTTGGGTTTTAGGTGTAGATGAAATCCTCACATAAAGAGCATTAGCAGCGTCCCACAGCCAAATTGAAAAGTGGTAACAGTTTCAGGGACGAAAAAACCGTGAGAAATTGTTTGTTGTAATTGCTGTAGTATATATTCAAAAGATACCAAGTTGGAAATATAGCACCCCAACTGCAGATCTAAAGCAATTCACTCCTACCAATTCACAAGGCTTTTCACCCTCAAATTCTTCTGCATTTTGTCACCTGACCTTGAGCAGAGTTAGAGAACAATGACTTTTGAGTACCCGCAAGAGGGTGGTTGTATGTTCTCAGGTTCTTTTATTAGTAATTAATGATGCTGCAACTGCCAACCAATCTAGTTTGGTTATTTTTCTCGACGGTTTCAACTCTAGCATCGACAAAATCTCTGCACTATCAACTAATTTTCAGTGAAGAAATGATCAAGAGTTTCATGACCCCTTTTGCTACTCTTCTCTGGGAAGGGAGGATGATAGCACTTAATAATGAATTTCTTACAATATAGCTGTGTTAAACCAATAATTTGGAAAAGAAAAACTATGAAAGGAAAACAATCAATGGATAAAAATTGCTCAACCTGCCGGATTTGAACAAGCGACCTCAGGATTACTTGTTTAGGCTTTGCCCTACTGTAATCCTCCGCTCCACCAACTGAGCTAAGGCTGGTTTCTGATGAACTACCTTAAGAAATGTCATATTTCACATGCATCACATCACCCATAGAACTTACAAACAGTCTCATCCTATTTAGTAGAAATAGTTGCCTTTGATCCGATTGATTAAATAGATGAGTTTTTTGTTTTAACTAAAGAGAAGCCAGTCCTTTCAGCATTGCTAAATACTACATTTGATTTGGAAAATACATGTCAAATATGTTGGGGTAAAATTTCTTCAAGTAAGCTATTTCCCATGGACAAGAATGATTCTTCCAAAATTGAACCACAAAAAGAAACTTACTAATATGGATAATAGAGGTCTGCTATTGATGAACAAAAGTAGCTGATGATGTTCCACTTGAGTCCCTTTAGTGTAGTATGAGTTGATGTAGAGGACCATGGATCATATGACGGTTCGTATCCTTTAGGACATTCTCATATAAACTGCCACAATCATTAAAGAAGTGGCTGCCACCTTCATTATAAAACAACAGAACTAAGGAAAACAATACAAAATTTAAAGAGGTTCTTGAAATGTCTCGTGGATGAAGGTCGAGTGATATTCTTGCATATGATTTTATTCCCCACAGAGATGCACACCAAATAAACAAATAGAGAAAAAATCCATCACCATATAAAAGGTTAATGACAAGTTTTTCCCGCCTCTAAATATTTATGCGGATAATAATTCATTAAAATGATATCTTCATAGCCAGAAATGTTATCCTCATTGTTCTCTAAAACAAAACCAAATGGTCCTATTTATACATGGACAATACTATTTATGCACACTTCAAAAACTCTATATCCTAAGGTCATTTCTTAATGTAAAGTTGGCTTCTAGAACTCTACTTAGCCAATCTACTCTTCTCAAAGTTGTTAATATGTGTATGCTTGTACTCCAAAAACTAAAAAAGAAGAAGAAGGTTCTAGAAGAAACTTAACTTGATGAAAACATGAAAAACTCTTGACTTTGTGGCTTTGAAAAAAACTATGGCAGCCTTTTCTCCTGAGCAAGAATAAATGACTGTAGCCTAAGTACAATCTGCCACATGTAAGTAGAGCTTTAGTGTATTGATATATCATTAGGAAAGGTGGAGAATGTTTTTATGTACCTATGTCTTCTAACTTCTTCATCTAAAGTCTCACAACTTTTTACATCTGGCAAGCTATTTCTGCACCATAAAAAATCCATTAAAAATGCCATGTATTCCAAAACACCCCAGTAGTCGTGAAGTTTAGAACTACTACAGAATCAAGAAAATAGGAAAAATAAAAATCTTACTTGTTGCAGTATAGATATTGTTGAGTTTTTTATTTTTTTTTAAAGATGAAATAGTCTTAAAATGAGGGTGAATGGGAAATGGAGGGAAGAGGAAGAGATTTTTGGTGGGTATATATATAATTGCTCTTCTTGTAGCTCTTAAAGAGTTAAGAAGAAAACAAGCCTCGCGCCGTCGTCGTCGCTCGCTCGGCTCGGCTACGGTTTCGGCTTCGGATTTGGAGTAAATATTAACGTAAGATTATCCGCATTTGTAACGGATATTTTTCAATCCGTGTATTGACC